ATAGGCTACACTGACGTGACGTACGTTTTTTGAGGGGTGGTTAATGAAAATGTTCCAAAACGCGACATTAATTTCTTGACGGCCTAATATAATGTCGGCGTTACCTTTTAATTTATACAGAGATTTCGTCTCATGAAAAGATAAATTACGTTTCTTTGTGTAATTATGAAATTTCCTTAAGATACTCGACCCTTTTTTTTTAAAGTTTTGTCATGGCGTCAGTGTTCTTCCCTTTGTTTGTATTTTTGTTATCAAATATAATAATAAGAAATGTTCATTGTGGTAAACGAAATAATAATTTGATCTAAGTAACAGTTTTTTGTTCTTCCCGTTTTGTAAAAAATCCTTACGTGATAGAAAAAAAGTATTAGTTTTGAAATCTGTGTAGCTGAATTATGGAAAATCCGTTATTAAAACCAAAACAACTTTTCTGAAGTTTAAATTTGCAAGCCTGTGTAATCAAACTCTTAATTTCAATTAGTTGATTAACCCATTGAATGCTGATTCGTCATAAAGGGTACAGTCCACCTCCGGGCGCTGAATGCGAGTGTGTCGTAATCAGTGCATGTCTGGCAAAAATTTTGCGCCCACTTAGAGCAGCCGCAGTCAATTGTTTGAACAATCAAAAATAGCATTTACAGTTACTTGATTAGTTTAAGTGGCATAAATCTACACAATCACTACTCATGGGTATTCAATTAACTCACCCAGCACTGGTTGGGTGGGTTTCAATTTCCATACTTTTGTTACTTGTCTTCCATTATTTGAAATCGATTAAAGTCACATGTTTAGTTCACCGTAGTTTTGGGTTAAATTAAAAGTCTGTAATTACATTTTTAAATATTTTCTATATTTGGTTGAACTATTCTGTAAATTCATTTTGTATTTAGTTACTTATCCTTTATGGCGGTAACTTTCGTCAATAAAGTGAGATGCACATGTTTAGCCAACTGAAATGGCTTGACGTAATACTTTAAATCCTTCACCGTACCAAAGTATTTAGTTTTTGCAGGAGTTAGGAATATAAGAACTGAAATATGATTTTGTAGTTCATGGATGACAGTTTCGGCAATTGTTCTTCAAACAATGAGAGTAAAATTTAACTTCTTTGTTTCCCACTTAAAATTTAACGAATCTGGGACCTGGACTTAAAACCAGAAACTGGCTAAAAGGAGTAGTGCTCTACTACTTGTTACAAGTATACTCACGAAAGTATTGTTATGAAAGCGGAAGTCACGCGACCCTGGAGTTTCTAGATGGATCGTGACTTATCGAGCAACCTCATGAATGTCCCAGCTGTTTTCTAGACGCCCTCTTTTTTAGTATATAAGCCGGAGATAGACTGAAAAGAAGTAATTGATAATTGAGTCAAGCGAACAGTAGGCACCGTAATCAAAGTGTGTGAATCGCTGTGAATTATATCGTGTTTATAAAAGCAGTTAAGTTTAAAGTGGCTGTGGAAATTAAGTGTATTACAAAGTTTGTAATGAGAAAGAATAAACTACTTTTAATCAAGAAGAAATTTGTATAGCTGAAGTCACTGGGAAAGAATTTTTACTGGAAATTATCAAACGAGCAGATACGCAACAATATGTTAGAAAAGGTACACAGCCAAAATAATACACTTCCTAACAAAATCTTCAAAGTTCCAAGCACACTGCTTCAACAACACTAATAATACAATATTAAACTGGTGTTTTGTTGGATGGTTAAGGCAATGTCTTGTGATACAAAACAAATGTTTTTTTGTAAGCCATAATAAAAGGAAAATGTGTTAATCAGTTAAAAGAAGTTTATGAATGTATTAAATACTGTTAATAAAACACATTAAACCTAGCTCACAAAACATTTAACGCCATCATACAAGTAGTTATTTATTTCAAATATCCGGTATTTTACCAATCTTTCAGGCATTAAAAAAAAAAAAACTCTTAATTTTGCTAACGTCTGTTATAGGCAAAATACATACAGTAGCCAAATGTAGGGTAGAACATTATATCAAAGTGTGACAAAAAGGTCAGAATTAAGTTGAAACAGTTGGCTGGTAAGCCTTGAGTAGTTATAGCCTTTTTTTTGTGTGTGTGTGAACTAAACTAACAGCCACTGCGTTTTAAAAATAATGATTCTAATATGTTTAATTAGGACTAAAATTATTGATATGGCTTGAATCACAAAACCAAAGCACTAAATAACATTTTGAAAAGTAATAGTTTTTCCAATACAGTTTAATATAGACCACAGATCTTGAGTAACAGAACGAAAGAGGCACCCAGGGTAACTGACAATACCACAAAAAATACATTAATAACTTTTCATGTCCAACGGGGAATTTTTTCTTAAATAATCAAGAAAAACATGATTATTAATGTTAGACTGTGTTAAGTGACCTTTAATAAATTAAATCCATCCAGCAAATGTAGCAATTTCTTTTTTTTTCATAATTAACAATCAATTGTACTAACTAGTTAGTGGAAACTGTGTAGAAGGCTTTACTTTACATTTAAAATCATGATTGCAAACCAACTTGTGGGCTATTCAGTCACTTTAAAGTACCCATAATGAATTTTTGCACCCAATGATACTTCAATCTCTGCCATCAGTTGGATAAGTGGCAATTTCTATGTCACCTATATGAATGATGTTGAATTTTGCCAAAGCCACTACTGGTGTAATTGTAAAATCTGGTTCGGCAACTATATTTACCGAAGTTCCTCTAAAAGGATTCTGAACGACCCTGTATACAGTCTGAGTTTACCCATGCTTCTTGTGCAGCACTAATAAGGCAGTGACACTTTTATGAATTTCAGTCCCCAACGAGAGGTCCAGTCTATCGGCATACTTCTATGTCAAGAGGGTTATTAGTTGAGCCGGAATCTAAATCAAAATAATCACAAATACCAATACCGTCAGTGGCTTCGATTGGAGCTTTTCGTTTACAACTTCTATGCCATTTCTGAGAAACGGGAGCGGCACTTACATCAAGGTCATCCTAAATTTCATAAGCATCACTACAATCCCAAAATTCAAATATCTTCAAAATCATCCTACTCCGTTTGTAGTGCAATTGGTTACTTATCCCCTTGCTTACAATATAACTTTGATTTGGTAAATAATCACAAGAACACCCACAGTAACTGAATTTTATGCACAAAACACACTTACGATGCTTGTATTTACAAGTTAACTTCCCCATATGTAACATGCTATCTCAATACTTTAGTGCCTTTATCTGGGTGAGAAGGGGCCGGCGCTGATCTAAATAGTGTGCCAAACCCATCCTTTTTAACCAAAAGTTTTCATACCAGTAAAACAAATGCAGCAAAGGTTGTTAAAAGCGTGGTGTGTGTTAAACAACTGCCAACATTTTATATTTTTACCCACAAATTTGCTTACTACATGTTCACAGTTGCCAATATCAAGTGTTTCAGGAAGATTATGAATTAATACGACAAACCTTGTCTTTGAACTTTCCTAAAATTTGTCCATACAAATCAGTTAAACCATGTTTAAAGCTGTCACAAATGAAGTTTGGATATTAACACAGAGGTAATGGGTAAAACATGTCCAACAGAGTATATCTTTGCCAGGTCATACAAATTTATTATTAATAATAATAAGAGTACAGGCTGGCACAGCAAGGTAACCTTAAAACAGTATACTGTTTTTTCATCATAATAATGTAGTATCTCTGCAAGTCACATATATTCAATTTGTCCTTTGGTTATTCCAACAAACTACAGATGATGTAGGACAAAATATTCAACATCAAATGATGATGTACATTACTGAAGATGCTTTATGCTGCTGTCTACAATTTGTTTTGGTAACAATGAGTAGTTGTCATTAACCTGCGAATGAATGAACTCTGACATCAAACTGACTACATGCAATTCTTAATGAATACATGTAACACGTTTGTTTCTATAAACCTATGCAGCCTCATTTTCAAGTGGTATAAAGCAGTGATAAAACGTCCAAAATATTTTTTCATAAGTGTGACATTAAGAAAGAGCAAAACTTTCTACCCTGTGTCAAATGTTCTACTTGTGTAACCCTTTCATACCAGGTACCCCTTTCTGCACAAGTCACTGTTACATTCAAAATTTAAACAACCTTTATCAATTTTTGTAAATGAAAGTGATGTTATAATGTATGTTATGATTCAAAGTTATGTTATCCAAGTTAAGTCCTTTATTTCAAGAGAAACCTTTAAAAAACTACTTAACTTCAGATATTTTGTCACATGACCCACGAGCTATGAAAATTCTCTATCTTGGCACACTGTATCTTCAATAATATAATGCCAGTAGCATAGATGTACAACTAGACAATAAGATATTTACACATACATACGAGTTCTCTGGACGAATGCAGTTGAAACAAGTAATTGTCAACCTCTGACTGGTGCCACAGCCACCTTCAATAACTCGTTTCAGCTTTATAATAACATACATGTTGATGTTGCACCTGTATATAGTCATTAGAAAGAGCCTATTTTACACTATAATCCAGCAACGGTTATTTTGAAATTGGCACACACTTTGTTATGGTGTACATGTGACTGCCTGTAGTATTGTTAGCTGATTGTTCGACTATAGCACTTAGTTGTTTCTTACCTAAATATGTTATAGTTAAGATATTCAGTTAAATTGTATGTAGGTCATACTTTTATATTTGAGTTAATTATGTATTAATGTTTTAAAATGCATTATTGAAAGGTTTAAACATTTTAAATACATTATACTTTTCATCAGTTCTTACAGTATTAGGAGGTGCACAAAAATTCTGCCAAACTCCTCCAGAGATACTGTAATATACCCGAGGGCACAGTTGACTTGCATCAAGATGAATAATAAATGGTAAAATAAAGAAAATAAAACATTAAAAGGTATGTACTTTTTTTTTCTATTTTCTAATTTTAATCATTTCATTGTACGGTGATGATGATAATAGCTAGAGAAAATTTACCTTGAAAAAACTTGATATTCATTTAGTAGCTTATGCAAATGAAACATGAAAACTACAGGATGAAAAGTATTTTTTATACTTAAAATCATCTTGCACTTGAACTGTTCACTTTGAGTGCAAATAATTACTATAGATAAATAACATTTTTAATAAAAACACTTAAAAAAAATTTTCATTCTTTGTGTACAAGATACGATTTTTAACAAAACCATACATTTTGAGAGCATATGTTAAGAAATCTCAGAGTTGCTGTATGTACTGTTGCACAAGTGAAATTCCCGATATTGCATTTCATAGAGTACACGAGTCCATTGCAAAAAGGTTAAATTAATTAAAAAAGCAGAAACAGCAGACTACCCATCAAAATTATATGTCTGAGTAAAGAATAGAAACATCTAATTGGTGTTTAAAAATTGTACCTATTCCAAGCTTAGTGTATTAGAAGTTTTTCCACAGTATTTTTTAAATTTGTTTATTTCCAGTACATGGTAAGCATAGCTTTACAAATAAACTTAGCTGCAGCAAGATAAATAAAGTTGCTACTCTGATGGAAAATATCTTGCTGAGGAGAATTCATTAAATTACACAATATTTTAAGATTGCTCTTGTAACCTTTTAACTGCACATTTTATTTGCACTTCAGGGTGGGGTGGGAAGTACAAACACTAAATGGCAAAATTTTTTATAATTTATCCAAGTACTGGTCAAGTTCAGGAATAGAATCCTTCAGTCCTTTACGTTTTCTAGTATCCATCACTATCTGCCAGGGACGTGACTTGCCATCCATTGGATCACCAGGTAAGATCTGCCAGTGGTCAAATACACACTGTGGGAAGGCCTGACCACCAGTGCTTGAACGAAGATCAGCTGTGAAACCTGAAAGATATTTGTTCCATTAAAATTATTTCTGTGATAAACTGAAGGTAACAACATAAGAAAAATCAAACTTAAAACTATTATAAAACAGATAACATTAATCAGAAATTTCACTGAACTGAAAAATTATCCAAATACTCAATTATAATTTATAGCTTGCAAATTCTAGGTTTACAGATGCTGTTAATACCCAAAATGAAAGCAAAATTCTATTTGAAAGTAGGTTTAATGTATTAAATCTTATGGAATACGTGCAGGACAAACAGCATCTTATATAACAGTATAATGTTGTATAACATTAAGTTTCCATAGTAACATTATCAAACCAAATGTGTACAGTCAAAATTTATATTCCCTCTACAATTTTTTCAATCCACGTGCACTACCAGTTTGTTTGTTGTTGTTTTTAATGGGTTTTTTTCTTTTAAACTTCTGAAAGAGTTTACAAATTGAAGCAAAAAAAAATTAGTTGTATGATCTCTTCAGTTAAGGTTAATATATTAATGTATAAACAATCAAGTCCAAAAAAAAAGTTGTGATACAGTGAAATTCTGTGAAAAGGAGGGTTGAACACAAAAATAGAAGATCCCCAAATCAGATTATATTTAAAATCTATGTTCAATTAAGTGAAAAAAAAAGTACCAGACCTGTTTTGCTAGTATATTAGCTTAAAACAATTGCTTGTAATATAATCATAAATACTACTTAAGAATTTACACAACAGGGAAAGAAAGCTCTCAAAAAAATCTATTTAGACATGTCTAAAGGAAGTGTTAGCACTTCACATTCATAGAAATAACTTTCCAGCACCAGGTTTATTTTTTGATGAAAAATAAAAAACAAAGACCTGTTTTAATATTTCATTACTTATCTGAAATGTGAAAATGGTAAACTTTGGGAACATTGAAGTAAAATGCCCTTTCTTCGCGATACAGAATTTCAAAGTTACATGTGCTCAATATCACTTTTAAGGCTTAAAATAAAGGTTAATATAGTGTGTAGCACTATTTGCCTAAGACAGTGCTCCAGAATATGATGTGCCCACAAGAGTGAAAGAGTTAGTTTCAAGAAACATTTTTATTTGTAGTATAGGCACACAAGTCCTTAAGTTTACTTACCTAAATCTTAAGGCCAAAACTTGTACAGTACCAAATATTTTGGACTTGCTAACCCTCGAAAATGTACGAAATTAAACGTAAAATGCTTTCTATAAAATCATTATTGCTCCATAATTTTTTTATGACCTTCAATTTTATTTTGTTACAGAGCTATTAAAGAGAAAATCAGACCCCTCCTGCCACATCCACTCTTTCACAATTGGTTGATAGTTCTCTCTTACATTTCATTATCTATTTTTTATAACCAATAGAAAGTCAAGGTTTTCATCTATCAAATGGCATATAGTTATATTCTGAACAGATAACTGTCAATGTCACTCTGAGTAGCAACTTTGTTCCCGTGGGAAAGTTAATGACTAGCTTGGATGAATTTCTAATGGCTCTTGTCTAATTTTTGCATGTTATTGGTCTATATTCTTTGGTGTATTATTTAAGTAAATAAAAATTGTTAAGTGCTTTACAATAATCGCTTTATATATATATAAAAAGCTTAACTCTACTCGACAATTGAGGGCAAGAAAAAAAAGAAGAACGGGTAAGTACTTTATTTGTTTTTATATTTATTCATTTATTATTATAAAGTAACTAAAATTAAAAGTACAGATCTTAAGTTATTTAAGACTAGAATGGGTAAAATAAGTAACAATCATATAACTAAAATTGTTCACGAAGCACGCATGCAAACAGCTAGTTGTTAATGTAAATCGATAGCGTAACGTGAGCTGCACGTTCCCAGGGTGATTTACAACTTATAATGGCGCGAATGGCAGTTAGCCATGGTTCAAAGGGCAATAAAACTAAAAATAGATGTATGATGTTACAAACTTAGAGCTACTTAGGATAAACAAATGTAGTTTCAGGTTACAATCTGAAGTCATACTAGAAAGAAAAGAAGGTTAATTTAGGTTTATTTCGATTTTTCTTTTAGTGGTTACGAGGTTGGTCAAATTGACCAATACAGTTTTGAGATTAGAGTAGAGAAAATAAGAAACTAAGGACTTAGCAAAAAACAAAAAAACGTTTGAAATGCATTTAGGAGGTTTTAGGGAATACACAGAGGAAATTTGAGACTTCAGATGACAAAAAGTATTTTTAATTTTAACATGAAAATTATTTTGCACACGTACTATTCAAAACAAATACTCAATATATTTAAGGACAAAACTTTATTTTACTATTTTACTAAAAGTACTTTACTAAGAAATATGTGAAAAACTTGTGATATTAACTGAAACACTGCCAAATTTCATGAAGTTATACCTAATAATAATACAAGAAAAGTATGGCAGACAACAAAAACTTAAAAAAAAAAAAGGTACTTACCAAAAGATTCATTCACAGGTAAGTATGCCTTGACAATGAACATGGGAGTTCCTGCAACCTGAGCCTCTTCAAAAACTATTCCTCTCCTGCGGTTTAGTACTCCATAAATACCTCCAACAGCTGCTTCAGGACACTACAAATATATGCCTCATTATACAAATACCCTCACTTAACCAAATATGTGGTGAAATTATTATCTGCATGGTAAACAGAATTAGTTCTGGTAATCTAAAAGTATAAGTTTGTTTTTTCTTCAACAAAGATTGATAGCAGTCACACTAGTCCACTGAGCAGTAATGTAGATATGTAATAATGTAATGTGTGACTATTACCAAATACACATCTTCAGTGTTATAATTAGTTTCATGATTTGTTAGAATTAATCTGAAAACATGCCAAGTTCCTAGAAACCATAGTAAACCAAATTTTATTTTTTTAGTTAGGTACAAGTTTTCTAAGAGCTACATTTACTTAACAGACATCACACACACCTGAATTTCCACCAAGTAAACAGGCTCCATGATACGAGGTTCTGCTGTAAGCATGCAAGCATACAAACATCGACGAGCTGTTGGGATGATCTGTCCTCCACCACGGTGAATAGCATCAGCATGAAGTGTCACATCGTAAATATTGAAACGAACTCCTCTCATGTTTTCTTCTGAGAGAACACTCTGGAAGTAACAGATTTTATATACTAAACAACCACTACAATTCAAGATACTAGAAAATTCTTTCCTGAAAAATTTAAGTGCAGTTGAGAAAGATGGTTTTCCATTCTTTATTTCCCCACAGTTAGGGTAACTACAACACTTAAACACTGTTAAATTCTGGTAAAGTTACTAAAAGTGATGTGGAGATTCCATAAAAATTTGGAAACTGCCGCTATTAGACATGAAACACAGCTTGATTTCTTATACAAGTAATTTTTTTCTATAACTGAAAATATTCTAATAAATCAAATCAAAATTATCCTTAAAGCCTTACCTCTTTTGTGGCCCACTGGAATCCAGCTACTACAGAATCCTTGATTTCATTTAAATACTGAACACCCTTGGTACAATCCACCAGAAGGTTTGGTCCACTGCCCTCAGGTCCAAAAGCCCAAATCTTTCGTGCTTCTGTGGCATCCCAGCTATATTTTTCAGTCAGATAACGAGCACGTGCCTTAAAGTCATCTTTATGGGTCACTTTACCCTAAATTGAACAAGAAAAAGTAAATATCACCAATAAAATAAAATGACATGTGACAAAATTTTTTAACTCTGAAGTTATTTGGCTTTATTCAATTCTTAAACATTTTAAAACCACCACCTCTCATCTTTAATCTCAACAAACCTACTTCGTATTATTAACATTCATCAGTATATAGAACACAGGTCTCCCACAAGTAGATTAAAATTAAGTAAAATGTGAATAAATACCATATAGAAAAAATATGCATACTTAACTATAAATAGTAATTGACATTTTTTCTTTAATTGATGAATCAGAAATATAAAACCTAAATGTCAAGAATTAACTCACAAACATGCACTGATGCCAACAAGTTTCTGGTATACAAGAATATTCAGTTTTTCTTTCCTCTTCAAATACAAATTGCTAAAAAACTAAGTACTAATGCTTTTGAAAAACAGGTTTTGGCACTTAAGAAGCATGAGAAATTATCAAAAAAAAAGTTCTATAGGTGTGGATCAGTTAGCAAATTGGATAGAAGAGTGGCTGGATGTAAAAAAGTATAGGGTTGTTACAAATGGAGTTCAGTCAAACTGGATTAATGTCACAAGTGAGGTACCTCAGGTCTCAGTCTTAGGACCTTTGCTCTTTCATTTACATCAATGACAGATGAAGGGATAGTCAATAAATTACTTAAATTTGCAGATAATATTGAGGTTTTGCTGCTGATTTACAAGAGGATTTAGATCATTTAGTGAGTTGGACAAATAAATGGCAGATGAGTATTAATTACAATAAATGCAAAATGATGCATATGGGTTATAATTTAAATTATAAGTATAATTCGGATGGGAATAACCTTAATTGTTTTATGAAGAAAAGGAATCTTGGTGTAATAGTTGATCAGTCTCTTAAAGTCATCCAAGAAGTGTGTTGTTGCTAGTGGTAGGGCAAATAGGATTTTAGGTTATACTTTCATTGTACAGGCCACTGGTTAGGCCACATTTGAGATATTGTGTTCAGTATTGGGCTCCTTACCTTACGAAGAACATTGAATTGTTGGAAAGGGTTCAGAGAAGGGTCACTAGAATGGTGCCTGGGATGGAGGGGTTGTCATATGACGAGAGGCTTAAATATCTCAACTTGTTTTCTCTTAATTGAGGTGTTTAGGATTGTAAAGGGAATTGACAGTGTTGATGTATCATTTTTTTTTTTATATTTAACAATGATAATAGTAGGACTAGGGGACAAATATAAATTTTGGCAAGGTAGAGGTTCAGTCATCTTTAGTTAAGACAGTTTTATTTTTCAAACAGGGTGGTTAGCCTTTGGAATGGGTTGCCTTCAAGATGTAGAGGCAGTAAATTTGAGCGAGTTTAAAAAAAAAGCTTGATAAGTATATGAATGAAAAGGACTGGGTTTAAATTTTTTTAATAATTTTAATCTAGTTTTGAGGATGGAAAAGCCAATATAGACCAATAGGTCCCATGTTTTCCCAAAATATTGTTATATTAATATGGTTAATCTCATGAGACCAGAAGATGATTTCTGGTACCAACATTTATGTTGTATTTCAGTGGATTATTTCTCCATACCGTAAGGTACAACAGGTTTCAATATGTATACTACTAATGTATTTCAAATATTAAACAACCACTTTTAAGGTACAAATCCATATGGCTAAGTCTCAGTGTTAAACTAGTTTTCTCAATCAAGCACTTATGGACATTATTTAATGTAGGAATTAAGAAGACTCAATAACAATTGAAGATGGAACAATACATACCAGTGCCAGACAAAAAAAGCAACAATTTTTCTTGGCTTTACAATTCAACAGAGGGTATAATTAAAACATTTCAATCACAGTCAGTTTTGAAATAGAACCAATGTGCAGAAAAAGACTCCAAACAAATTTACCATTTTCCAGTCCATCCAATAAGAGAGGAGAAAAATTCTATAATTTCACATCATTACTTGTTCACACAAATATAAACAGAATCTAAAAGTCCACTAAAAGCAAACTTAAATTAAACGTTTAAAGAAAATTATGACATTGGAAAAAAAAATAATAATTTTTGGCTTTTATACATTACAGAAAAATTTAGGTTTATGATGATACTTGTTCTCATTGATTGAAATTTCAAATGCTTATCCTACTTCTCACAAAAACAACTTCAAAACCTTTGAGTGAAATATTGTTTACTAGTTAAAAGGATGTAAAAACTATACAGGCTATAAGGTCAGTCTTCAAAATGGAGAAATTATTTGCTGCTTTATGTATGATGACTTATCCAACAGGAAAGTTGCAATCTACATTAACTTTTATTATAATTGCTCCAATGAAAAAATTAAAATATCAGAAAAGTAGTTTTGATATTTTAGCATAGAAAGTTTCCCCGTTGCAAAGATATGTACAAAAGTCAACATTACATACACACACACCACTTCAGATAATGAAGTAGTGTTTCAATATTCCTGTAATTATCATCACAACTTAAAACAGAGATTTAAAAAACAATTACATTATCAATGTCCTCTGGTAAGCCATCAGAAAGTTGATTGGCCTTCATGAACAGCCTGTTGTGCTTATTTGGAGACTTTGAGAGACACGTAATTTTAGATTCTTCAGAAACAGTTTCACGATACGATACAACTGGATCAGTTTTCTTTAGTGGAATTCCAGCATGATCTTCTTCCAAGTCTTTCAGACAGATTTCCAAGTGCAATTCACCAGCTCCAGCAATAATGTGTTCTCCTGATTCTTCAATAATACACTGTAAATAAAGAAGACATTCAGTACAAAGTAATTTCATTCTATAGTACATCATGCGCATTTATTTCACAATCAAAATATAAGCAAAGGTCCCATCTTCCAATTTAATTTACAACTTATTTTATAGTACAGCTACAATGTGTTACTAGACCAATATCTTTTGCAGCTGAGAAATTAGGGTTGTAAAAATATTTATAAGAGTAAATAAATCATCAAAAGTATAAAAATAGCCAATTTACACAAAGGATTAGAAACATAAATGTTTGAGACGAGAAGTAATAGTAAAACTTGTATCTAGTTAATATTCTTCTAAAAGCACATCATCATCATTCTAGTAAGTATATAAAGTCCCTTATGAATTACAAACAGAACACAAATTATCCAAAACTTACAATCTGAATAAAGTGTAGTCAAGGTATGAACAATTTTCAAGAACACTGGTGTACAGAACAAATTTAACAAAGACAAAATATTTCATTTAAATCTAAAAAACATCTTACAACAAGAACTGGTCA